CAAAAACCGAGTAATCTCAGAAAATTGTGTTTGTTTGTTTGTTGCTTAATGCAAGACTTGCCAACATTCCACCTATGTGGTGGTGGTCTGTAAATAATCGAGTCTGGACCAGACAAACCAGTGATCAACACCATGAGCATCGATCTACGCAACTGGGATACAATTACATGTGTCAACCAAGCGTTCGAGTCAGACACCCGATACCGTAGGTCGCCTCATACAACAATTAAGCTTGGGTTGCTGAACATCAATTCTAACCCGGATCTTCACGGGTAACGTCAGGAAGTGAAACCTATACTGTTAAAAAATGTCTTTTGGAAGATTGTAGAAAAGTTATCAGGTCCTGTAAACAGCAGATACAGTAATCACGTCACTGGAAATCCCTTAAACTTCCAAATAAGAATTTATCAAATATTAGTTTACGAAAACACAGTAATGCTGCGGTTTTATCCTCGAATTAGTTACTCTCCTAATTATTATTCCTAGTTATCATTCATTCCTTGTTATCATTCTGATTTGAGACCACCGATTAACCAATATCGTGTAGTTTCCAAAGTCGTGCTAGAGTTTGAAGACAAACCTACTGTTATAAAATTTGAGACTGTCTCACCAAATGATCGATACCTCAAGTTTTTCAAGTTGGACCCGTAGGCTAACAGAATAAACAAAACTTGTGGCCGTTTTGTCAAAGTCCATTTGGCCATTTTCTACAATGGCCGTTTTCCGCTTAGACCAGTGCGATCCGTTACATCGCGAACGTTAGCGAGTAAGCCGTCTCACATTTCACATATTTGACACAGGTATGTCAGCTTTTTCATGAAGTTTACTTTCTACGATAGATCATTGTCATAAGAATACAAGATATAGCCGAATATGAATGACTGACAACGATTGTTACATTGATAAAGTTAGATCGGCCCGGCTCATCTCGCTTACAACGATTTCAGGAAGTTGTTAAAACGAAAATAGGACGTTAAATATTAAGTCATCCCGCCGGTTGTACCAGTTGGATATGATCTACGCGAGGTTACCTTCCGAGATGTAAGAATGGACACATTTTAAAAAGCCCAATGTGCCCCAACAAACTTACACCACAACGCCGCTGTTTCAGAAATTCGAAACTTAAGAAAACGCTTTATATCTGGTCATGGTGTGTATTTGAAACATTTTAAAAGTTTCATTTACCACCACATAATTTCTATGGTGGCACTGCTATCTTACATGGGTGAATTACTTTAATGTCAGTACACTCTCTTGACACCTTTTGCTCTGAACTGTGAAAGGTGAAAACGAAAGCGGTACCCAGCGAAAACGGTACCCAACGAAAACGGCCTCTGTCGTTTTAAGCCATCGTACAAACATAACTCTTACGTCTCTAATTGGCAGCATTTAAGAACAAATATTTTAAAATCTCTGTCAATATCTCCCGTATCTCCAGATCAGAATGTATTTCTTTATTTCATTGATGGTGATCCATAATGGCCCCAGTTTTACAACCTAATATTTATGTCTACATTCACAAACAGCATGTACAAATCTTTCCACACCCAATACCTCCCTGCTAACTCTTTACCATCGTACATTAATAATCCCTGTGTTACATGTAATCAGTCATGCAAACAATCATCAACAAACATGAACAAAGTAGGGGCTCTACAAGATGATGTGCATAATTCAACTTTATGGGACCAGTTTGCACATTTCAATTTTTCGCCTAGAGCAATAGATATTTCATATATTGGTCTCAAACAGATATTGTACTGATATACATTATTTTAATGCTACATTGCTTTTACTTATTTCAGAATTCAGTGTACCACAACACAAACAGTAAGGGCGGAAACGATGGCATCAAACTTCGTTTTGAAAAACCTGTGTTGCAGCAACTGTGACGAACTGCAGGAGCTTGTGATATTATCCTGTTACCATGGTATCTGCAAAACCTGTCTCAAAGCTGGTGATCGAACAAAGGATGGGAAATCAGTCACGTTGTGTCCAGTTTGTAACACACAAGTCACTTCATCAGAAGTACATGATGATCTTCGATTACAACTGAATACGTGTATGAGTCAAGCCTTTCAATATTTTGGAAAAAATGTATCGAAGACGGAAACAAGCTCCTGTAGCATTTGTTGTTTACGAAACCTGCACAATGAAGCGACCCACCAGTGTCTCGACTGTGGCGATGTTCTGTGTTATGTCTGCCAGAAAGGACACTGTGCATCAAGGATCACACATGATCATAGGGTGGTACCTATTGAAGATGTGAGGAGTGGGAAGTTTGTGGTAGCTGAGGCACAGGCACCCCTGCCCTGTAGTAACACGACACACAAGGGAGCCACGTGTACTTACTTCTGCCAGACTTGTGGCAAACTGGTGTGCGAATTGTGTCTTCTGTTTGAACACAAATGTCATGAGATCCTACCGTTACAAGAAGCTGCCAGACAGTGTGGGAAACAGCTGGAAGAACAATCGGTAAAACTTGAAACTTACCTCACTGAGATCACATCAGTGCTTGAAATGAGCAGCAGTCGGCATGAGAGTATTATTGCATCCCGAGAAGACACTCTAAAAATACTGCGGGAGAAGACTCAGGCTATAGTAGGTTTGATTCACGAACAGGAGCAAAAGGCTGTAGATAAGGTGACACGCTTGTGTGAGAATCAGCTCCTCCTTGTCAGTACGATGAACTACAAATTGGATCAAATTACAAAACTATGCCCAAAAGTGTTGTCGCTTACACACTCAGTTCTTGAAGCCAGAGAGAATCTCCACTTGCTTCTTCTTTGCAATGATCTTGAGAAATGTTTCAAAGAAAGTCAACAATTACAGGATTCGATGCTAGCTTTTGAAAACAAATGGAAGATACCCAGGTTCAATGTGAAGTGTGATTTTCCAAATAGCTCTGTTATCGGTATAAAACAGTCATTTGTCAGTCCACATCTGGTGCAAGAAGAGAGCAAGGAAAGAGTTGTCTTGTCAGATTATGCAAATGGAGGTCAGATCACTTCAGCTCATCCAGGTGGCAAGCAGTCAGTCAGGTCATGCAATGCTGAAGACACTTCCACCCAGAAACAAGCTCGGCCCACCAGACCACAAGGTAAAGTCGGAGCCAACAAGCAACACCTGCCTACAAAGGATCAGATGAATATCTGTGGTGATGGAATCTTGACTGACACAGTGCATAATAATGATACTGAAGGCACGTCAGGTTATTCCACACATGATGATACATCACTTGAGGAATCTGAGGATGGATTCCAACTGACCAAATCTGTGGTGATAGTCGGTAAAGGAGGAACGCAGTTGACAAACAGTCTTCCAGGATCTCAAACCACTGTCAGAAGCAAAGAGTCTGGTTCTGGCATTGGGTCCAGATTGGCAAAATATGAAGAGCCAGCCTCTCAAGGATGCAGTGTCCTTGTGGCTGACACAGTTCTTGCGGAGAAGCGGTCACCTCAGGATGGACATTATGCCCAATCTGCTCCCCCTGAAAACACTAGAGGCCCAGGTCAAAGCAATGTCAGAGCTCTCAGACTCCAAAAGACAAACCACTATCATTTGAGGGTGGTGAATGATAAAACAGATCCGGAGATTAAAGGTTTGGCAGTTGCCTCAGGTAATACAACCATTGCAGACAACGGCAACAAGAAGATTCGGCTGATTGACAAGAAAGGACATTCAACAAATATGACCAAGAATGTATTGAAGGACAACATACCTGCTCATGCCCTTGTCCATCTTGGGCATGTGGTTGTTTATATTTGTGGCTCTTGTATCTACATTGCTGATAAATCTCTACGAACCCAGATGGTAGTAGAGCTGACTATTGATAAATCAGCCTATCGTGGACTGATTCTGTGCAAATACACAGATTCATCGTTTATGGTCGGGAATCTTCCTGAGAACCTGGTGCTGGTGTACAGTATCTATGGTGAACTGATGTCCACGAGACGGGCTCCTGTTCCTGGCCCAATAACAGCCATGTCTCTGACCACTGATGAGGATATCCTGTACAGTTGTCCAGGAGCCGTGTCACAGATCCAGAAGTATGGTAACGTAACTCAAGTCTTCAGACCTCCAGATATCGCAGATTGGTTCCCAGAGGGCACCTGTATGGACAGGTGGAACAACTTGTATGTTGCCAATTCGAGACAGAATCAAATCCATGTGTTTGGCCAAGGGGGTGAACAGCTTTGTGTCCATTCAACGTTGAGTGATAATCTGGAGTCACCTCGGTGTTTAGCAATGTCATTGGACAGACTGATTGTTTCAGGAGATCATCCACATCTGTTTGTTTATACCATTCTTAAAGTGTAAATACAGGTCTGGTTGTGTGGATTCATGATGTCTCTTTTCAGGAATACATATATTTGTGTGGATACACGGTGTGTATTTGTGTGGATACACGGTGTGTATTTGTGTGGATACATGGTGTGTATTTGTGTGGATAGACGGTGTGTATTTGTGTGGATACATGGTGTCAATTTGTGTGGATACATGGTGTGTATTTGTGTGGATACATGGTGTCAATTTGTGTGGATACACTGTGTATTTGTGTGGATACATGGTGTGTATTTGTGTGGATACATATTGTGTATTTGTGTGGATGCACAGTGTGTATTTGTGTGGATACATGGTGTGTATCTGTGTGGATACATGGTGTGTATCTGTGTGGATTCACAGTGTGTATTTGTGTGGATACACGGTATGTATTTGTGTGGATACATGGTGTGTATTTGTGTGGATACACAGTGTGTATTTGTTTGGATTCATGGTGTCTATTTGTGTGAATGCATGGTGTGTATTTATGTGAATAGGTCCTGTATTTTTGTGTGAATATGTGATGTTTGTGTAACAGGAGATTGTGTTTATAGTTTTAGCAATAAAGTTTTATATTTATCACTTCAAATTGTTTTTGTGTTCATTAGTTTATGTGCTTGGGATACTTATCCAAGCAGTTGGTCTGTTAAGGGCCTCAACAGTCTAGCTTTCAATACAATAGCCCTCAGCTTCCAATTTGATTAATATTATGTAACTACAGCTTTCCTCCTTAGCACTTGCACACTTTTTAGTCACACTGCTAACAGCTCTGCACAGGACAAGCAACTCAGCACAGCTCAGGTTAGACATTTACTTTATATTAACCTAAATAGAATCTCAACTATCCATTAAATATGTTATAAATAATATAAACTGTTGTAAATATTACTATTTTATATCAAGTAGCCAATGTACCTTTTAATTTATCAATATGAAGTGTCTAAATGTATGAATGTGTGAGAGCATGATTTGATTGGTAGTTTGAATGTAATGTTGAACAAGAAGTTTCTTTCTACTGTAATAGGCTTCCCTGCCCAGTGACAGTTGAAGTTGGCTATAATAGGGTTTAGGACCTTGCGTTGTGTACTTTTTTTATGTGGTGATGGTAAAGCAGCCAACTTCAAATAGGCTCTATGAATCAGGCCTCATTGCTGGTAAAAACATAACAAAGGGACAAGAGAAACTCAATAATTTATTAACAAAAACCTAAACCTATCCTAACCTAAATACCTAACCTAACCTAATCTACTCCTAACAGTCTAACTTAACCCCAAACCCTAACGAGACATGGCTCTGATTTCAGAGCCTATGTCCAAAACAAATAAATATCTTAATTTCCTATGTAACCAAAAAGCCTATATACTTGGTCTGGATTACCAGGACTCAAGCAACTAAAATAAATGTCCTCACCTCTGGGGAACCAGTGGACCAAAGACAAGGAGTGCTGTGAAGCTACTCCCTTTATAGGGCTAAAGGCAGGCAGTGCATGTGCTGCACATGCCAGGCACAACCTGCCGGGTGTGTTGTGGCTATGTAATCAGCATAGCCGAGAACACACTAATAACCCATGTTATATTAACCCAACCCCAAAATAGAACTCAAACTTTACCCGAAATATCCTAAACTACCACATTCCTCCCCCCTTAAACAAAGTTATTAACTAATAACTTTACTCCCAGTTACACCAAACTACTTCCCAATTATAACCCCACATATGAACACAACATAACAATTATTTCATTTATACAAATACACATCAAATGCGACAATCGCGAATCACAAACGCGAACTTGAGGTCAGTCGGTAGGAGGATCCGGAAGGCTCTCAAGAATGGCATCCATTTCTGTCTGAAGGTCCTCTGCAGGGATGTCTCTGAAAGGGAGGCTGTGACGTCTGGCGGCCTCTTCTTTCTTGAGGGACTCCCGTCCAGGGGGTAGCATCCGCACCCGTCTTGGAAGAAGGGCATCGCCAGGATCGATGTAACGAAAGTTTTCTACCTCCACTTTCTCAAGTGTGACAGGCGGGTTGTACCTTTGGGCATGCTTCCTTGCCCTTTTCACTCCGTGAAGATGTGTCCACATGACGGACATTTGGCATGGACTCGCTTAGGTTTGTGTCGGTCAATCCAATGATCCAATAGTCTCCCAAAGGCACGGAAGTGCAGGGTCGAACACATTTCCACAGGACAAGCCATCCCCTTATCTGGCCACAGTGGCCTCTCACCCTCCAAAAACAACTCTAATTCTTCCTTTCCTTTACCAATATCTCCATCTGAATATAAAAGTTATCAGTTTTCAAAACCGAGAACCAAAATGGAGATCTTAAAATAAAATGCGTTTAAGTTTCCTATATTACAACCGTAGGGGTAGCTTTTACTGCACAAATGGTTCGTGTTTCTGAAAAAAACTAAAGGTAAAGATTTAACCAGCCCTATTCATGAGAAGAAAACCCCAATAAAAGAAATGAACAACAGGCCCCTATATACCCCATTGTTGCCTCGCACCCAAGTAATCAAACCATGCAGCACCTAACTACTGCCCCAAACCATTGATTCCCTCAGGCTGAGACAAACATATGGACAACAGGTGGGTCAATGTGCTACAAGTTGAACATCACATTACCAAGATCCTCTTCCCCCAGAACAACACTTGTTACATCTGAACCGATAAGACGTTACACTAGGCTAAGGGGAATACCTTATTCTAGGTTTTACAAGCCTCCCCACACGAGTTCTAAGTGCTGGTGTTTGACTCATATCATCATTGTGAACATCTGCATCCATATTTACAGTATCTACAAAAGTGTCTTGGTCTGAATCAGGGTAAGTTTGTGGCATATCACTTTCATTGTGTGAGGGGTTTTCTACTCCCTTTAACCAATTGGGAGGAGCTGAGACTCCTTCATAGGCTTTCAAATGGTCAATGTGGACACTGACCACAGGACTGGTTTGAGACTTCTGGACCCGTAAAACCAAATCTGACAGCTTGTCAACAACTAAATATGGGCCGTCCCAACCTAATCCTAACTTTTTATTTGCCTTTGGTGGATACCACCTCCAGACAAATGTGCCTATGTCAAAAGATCTGGTTTTCAACCCCTGGTCATAATTCTTCTTTTGTGCAACTGCTGCTTTACCTAGTTGCTCATTTGCATACTGGAAAATATCCTGCATTGTTTCCCTCACCCACTCCACATACTCTACTGGGCATCTATTCCGTTGTGTTTGAGGAGGATTGCCAACCATAACATCTATTGGTAACCTAATTTCCCTGCCCAACATCATGAGGTTAGGCGAGCAGCTTGTGCTTTTATGCTCTGTAGCACGATATGCCATTACAATGTATGGAAGGTGATCGTCCTAATCTAGTGGCTCATTGTTTGAGTAAATGGACAACATTTGCTTAAGAGTTCTGTTGAAACGCTCTACAAGACCATCTGATTGCGGGCAATATGGAGTCGTTCTAGTTTTCTCTATTCCAAGCAAGCGGCATAAACAAGCAAACAGATTGGATTCAAACTCCCTTCCCTGATCAGTATGGATTTGTTGTGGACATCCAAAACGACTAATAACCTCTGTTACCAGCTTATCAGCTACTGTCTGAGCGGTATGATCACTGAGAGCGAATGCCTCCTTCCACTTGGTGTAATAATCACCTACCACCATGATATATTCGTTCCCATTCCTACTGATTGGCAAAGGGCCAACAATATCAATAGCTAAACATTCCATTGGAGCCCGAGCAACAAATTGTTTCAATGGTGCTTTACCACGGCCAGGGCCTGGTTTACAACGAGCACACCAATCACAACTCCTGCACCAGCGTTTGACATCACTAGACATACAGGGCCAGTAAAACCTCATTTTTAAGGACTTAAGAGTTCTGTCTCTACCGAAATGACCACCGGTACGACTTGTGTGCAAATGCTGAAATATGTCCTCTCGTACAAGACCTGGAGCTACTAGCTGTAGACGTGGACCAAAGAAATCAGATTCTACCTTTCTGTAAAGTAGGCCATTTTCAATCTGTAACACATTCCACTGACCCCATAAAGTTCTAGCATCGGAGCTAAAATTGACAATTTGCTCTCTAGATGGCTGTTCTTTACTTTCAGAAAGACACTTCAGTATGGGACCTATCCCAACATCCTTGTTCTGGGCTTCAAGTAGTTCATCTCTTGTCCAAACTGGTAACCAGTTTGAGACATTTGACCCCAATGACCTTGATGAACTATCCCTACCATCAGAACTATTGTCTCCTGAAGCTACTTGTATGGGACAAACATGCTCAGAACTTGACTGGTTTCTGCAGGAACTGATACTGCAATCAGGACATTCCTCATTTTTACACTTTCTAACTGGCTTGCGAGACATGGCGTCTGCATTCCTGTGTTTTGAACCTGACCTGTACTGAATTTCAAACTGATACGTTTCAATAACGCTCAACCACCTAGCAAGAATGCCTTCTGGATCTTTGAAATTCTTTAGCCAGACTAGGGGAGCATGATCAGTGCGTAACAGGAAGTTCCTACCATAAAGGTAGTGCCTATAGTGCTTCAAGAAATTCACAACTGCTAAGAGTTCTCGCTTGGTTGTACAATAGTTTCTTTGGGCAGGATCAAGAGTTTTACTTGCGTACGACAAAACACGTTCTTCCCCATTTTGAACTTGCGACAAAACGGCGCCCATACCAAAAGCACTGGCATCTGTGTCTAAAATGAACAACCCATCGTTCTCAGGAAATGAAAGTATTGGTGCTTGAGTAAGACAGTGCTTTAACTGGAGAAAAGCTGACTCACAGCCATCACACCACTTATAGGGGACACCTTTTCTAGTGAGTCTAACCAGAGGAAATGCTTTTTCAGAGAAGTTAGGAATGAAGTGCCTATAATAGCCAACAAGACCTAAAAAGCTTCGAACCTCTGACCTACTTCTGGGCTGGGGCCATGATTCTACAGAGCTTACTTTGTCTGGGGTACATGTTATTCCCTTGGCGGAAACTATATGCCCTAAGAACTTAACTTCTGTTTGGAATAAGGTACACTTCTTTGATTTCAACTTCAAGTTTGCTTGGCGAAATGTAACAAACACAGATCTTAGATTGCTGAGGGCAGTGTCAAAGGTTGATCCAAAGACAATAACATCATCCAAATAGCACAGGCACTTTTTCCATCTAAGTTTGCCTAAGACATTATCCATTAGCCTCTCGAATGTTGCTGGAGCATTGGTAAGTCCAAAAGGCATGACATTAAAATGATGGAGACCCATATGTGTGGAAAAAGCAGTTTTATGTTTATGTTTTGGATCCATTTTGACCTGCCAATAACCTGAAGCTAAATCAAGGGTACAAAACCATCTGGACCCTCCCAAAGTTTCTAGAGTTTCATCAATTCTAGGTAGAGGATATGCATCTTTACGTGTGACCTGATTGATTTTTCTAAAATCTACACAGAACCTAACTGACCCATCTGGTTTAGTAACTAAACACACTGGAGCCGACCAAGGACTATCACTAGGTTCTATGATATTCTGTTTCAGCATTTTCTCGACTTCCTCCTCTACCACTTCCTTCCTAGCTAAGGGTACTCTCCTAGCCGGTAATTTGATGGGCTTTGACTCTCCTGTGTCAATGCTATGTGTAATAACATCTGTTTGACCTAAGATACCATCTTCACTGACAAATATATCTTCAAACTCCTTCACTAGGTTCCCAACTGCTGTTTTCTGTACTACAGAAAGCTCATCTGAACTCTTGTCAACTAATGGTTTCAAATGTGAGGGTAACTCTGAAGAACCTACATTGGGGCTTCTAGTTTCATCACACATGACTACCTGTTCCACTGTGCTTAACGTTCCCACTACAGAGCTACTTTCCATCTTAGTCTTCTTATTGCTCATATTCAGTAAAGAAACAACAACAGTGTTGTCCTTTCCCTGGACTAAGCTTCTAGCTACAAAGAGACCTTTGCTACGCCAATATTTATTTGGCTCAATTATACCATTCTGAGAAGAGATAGGGTTGTCGACCTTGCATTCAACTAGCATTTCTGAATTCCCAGGTACAGTCACTGTTTCAAGCACTCTTATTCTTGAACAACTGTGCGTTTTCTGCTTGGTAAGTGATAGTTCACCCTGTGAGGTATCTAGAACTTTCCTCTTTACATACACTACCCCATCATACTGCTCCAGGAAATCCATTCCAACAATACTGCTAAGTGATCCAAGATCTGCTACTACAAAGTTTTGCTCAAATTCCACACAATCAATCACAAACTTCAACCCAACAGAACCATGTACCACCATGGGGGTATCATTTGCTGTATGAAAATCTTTGTTGACTACCTCCAAAGGTGTTCCTTCCAAACCAAGCATACAGAAATCATCATGTGACATAATGGAAACTGGGGACCCTGTATCAACAAGAACTCTAAAGTTTCCTCCTTCAACTTTAGCATGCGCATAGAGACACTTTTCAGGTGTTAAAGGGCGCAAAACTATTTTCTCTCTGGATGCAGACTGCTCATTCTGTATTAACAAGGTATCATTCTCAATGCTATCTCTATTTGTCGGAACTGGCCTATCTAACTGAGCTGAAATAGCGGCCTCAATCTCAGCATCTACTAGTTTCCCGACCTATTTCCAGACTTATCAGCACTTGTTGGTAATCCTAACTTTTCAAGATATGGACAAGAATTTCTCAGATGACCTTTGTCATGACAAACATAGCAACGAGGGGGTTCCCTTCTCTGACTTTCTTTTTTGAAAAGATCCAACTTTTTGTCGATCAACTTTCCTATAGCCTCTAGAGTTAAGGGTTCCTTGACGTTACTCTGAGTTTCTATCCTAGCTTCAGATGTGTGACCAACAACCCCTACTCTATCATAATTCTCTGGTTTTCTGGCTCGACTACCTTCTATGGCTTCATATTCAACAGCATGGGACATTGCTTCATCAAGCGTGATAGGATGTGAGAAGGACACATGTTTTCTCATATTAAAACTAGTCAAACCATTCAAAAACTGGTCAATCAGATGTGGTTCTAAGGATGTGTAAGAAGCCTCAGGATAAGCAAGCAAACCTAAACGTCGGAGCTTGTACCCAAATTCAGTTATGGACTCATCCTTTCCTTGTTTTCTGTTTCTAAATTCTGATCTGAAGGCTAAACTTCTACCTCTAGGATTAAACCTTTGACCTAAAACATTCTTGACTGCATTGTAATCATTCAACTGTCCAATTGTAAGATTACTTAACAACATTTGAGCAGTACCCCTTAAACACATTGTTAGCTGTTGTGCCTTCTCTACATTTGTCCATTTGTTCCATGCAGAGACCTGTTCAAAATGAACTATGAAGTCCTGCCAATCACAGGATGCACCATCAAAACAATCTGGACGTACAGTCCGAATGAGGAGACCTAGCAAGTGAACTATGTTTGAGCATGGTTTCACTGGGATCGCTAACATAGGTACGATTTAAGGTATCATCTGCAGTTAAGCCTTCAGGGAAATACGCTGTTCTGGATAGAAACCTGCTATTCCCTACACTAGAACCATCATCAACTTGACTTGAAAATCGAACAGACGGGTTTCCGGTTCCTGTTCGATTCAAGTTCAACCCGTCAACCTCCCTATCTGTCAACACCCTATCTACAACTCTATGGGCACGCAGGGGTTGAAATGGAACTGAGTGGTCAGTTCGCAAATCACCTGCAGATGTCCTGGAGTTCTGTTGCAGCCTTTCTTCCATCTCTACTCCTAACCCAAGTATACTATTTCTATTGGACGAAGAAACAAAAGGTGTAGATGTCAAGAAGATGGACTGAGCTCTTAAACCAACATCGGACTCATCAAACCGATTATGGATACCATTATCAGCCAAGGCCAGTAACTCTTCTTGACTTAACACATCCATATCAACAACTATCAGACACAACAATGAAACTGAATAAAATTAAATTCCTACCAGCAACGAGAAACCTGATCCGGGTCACGGCACCAAATCTGTAATAGGCTTCCCTGCCCAGTGACAGTTGAAGTTGGCTATAATAGGGTTTAGGACCTTGCGTTGTGTACTTTTTTTATGTGGTGATGGTAAAGCAGCCAACTTCAAATAGGCTCTATGAATCAGGCCTCATTGCTGGTAAAAACATAACAAAGGGACAAGAGAAACTCAATAATTTATTAACAAAAACCTAAACCTATCCTAACCTAAATACCTAACCTAACCTAATCTACTCCTAACAGTCTAACTTAACCCCAAACCCTAACGAGACATGGCTCTGATTTCAGAGCCTATGTCCAAAACAAATAAATATCTTAATTTCCTATGTAACCAAAAAGCCTATATACTTGGTCTGGATTACCAGGACTCAAGCAACTAAAATAAATGTCCTCACCTCTGGGGAACCAGTGGACCAAAGACAAGGAGTGCTGTGAAGCTACTCCCTTTATAGGGCTAAAGGCAGGCAGTGCATGTGCTGCACATGCCAGGCACAACCTGCCGGGTGTGTTGTGGCTATGTAATCAGCATAGCCGAGAACACACTAATAACCCATGTTATAACTACCACACTACATTATTAATTGTAGGCATAGTAAAATATTGTACTTATTATTTGTTTTAGGAATGCATTAACACAGAATACTTGTGTGGGTATTTAGGCACAGCGCGGTATCACCCACAGGGTATGTACATATTATCTTTTATCATGTATGTAATTATCTATGTGTGATTTAAATATCACCTCTATGATCATTTAAGTTGATCATTTGCATGTTAAATTACAACCATAATGTAGTGTTTTATACATCAGTGGTAATAAGAATAACTTATTATGAACTAGTTATGTGTAACTGTACTTGTTGCATGTTTAGATTTATGTATAGCATTCTTTCTTATATTACAGGGTGATTGACTGATTAATTGATTGACTGATCAATTGATTGACTGATCAATTGAATGACTGATCAATTGAATAATTGATATATACATATGATGATGGAATAAACGTCACCTCACAAACACACCCGCAGCTTGTCATTATTGACTCACCCCTGTAACATTTGTGTGAAGATATTTTATCTATGTAAATGCAGGATGTATATTCACGTGAAAACAATGTCTGTGTGAATACATGATGTCTGTTCTATTCTGGTAAATACATGATGTCTGTTTGTGTGAATACATGATGTCTGTTCTATTCTGGTAAATACATGATGTCTGTTTGTGTGAATACATGATGTCTGTTCTATTCTGGTAAATACATGATGCCTAACGGTATGGAGCTGAACTACAAACATACATGTTTCTTTTCAAGTAAATGGCTAGACCTTTGATTATGTTTACATTTGTGCAAGACATGAGTTGAACAAACTTCTGCTGTGTTGGATAATGACGAAAAACATTTGGTATGAGTTTTGTTCGACTTTCCTTATAGAAAGGACAAACAAGAACAAAATGGAACTCATCTTTAATAGCTCCTAAATTACAGCGCTGACATGCTAAATCAGAATGAGCAGTGTATTTATTAAAAAGCAGTTTTTGAATTTTCAGACTATGTGACCGACATCTAAACTTTGCAGGTGCTTTAGTCAAATCCCTATCAATATCAGCACTTAAATACTTTTCTTGTTCAAAAACAGTTTTATGAGAAGAATACGTTTAGAGAAATGAAGATTACTCCACTTTCCCATACCAAGATTGAATATCTAAATCAATGCATGTCTGTTTAAACAAAGTCATAAATTGCGATACATTTCCACATTCTTGATAAATCCAAGCATATGAAAAGCCAATTTGAAATAACAACATTCTGACATGTGAAGCCCAGTTTACATTGCCAGCTTCGTCCTGCGCTTTAACAATGGAGCCCCCAGTGAGGAACTGACGTGCTATACAGGACACCCACAACTTGTGATGATTCATGGATCATATCCACTGTGAGTTGTGCATTCCTTGATGCTATGATTTCCTCCCCAGCTATACAAGTGTGCAGTCAGCAGTGACATTGAACTTTCACCATGTTGTGAATTGTTGTGACGTCATTGCTTGTGATTGCGATTGACATTCTAAGCTTTGATAAACAAAACCAAACTTTACGGAAGCTTCCTTCATGGACATGGACATTACCAGTTGCAGCTGATTGTTCTCCCACCATGTAAGATTATTACTCCATTGTTTTCTGTGTACCTGTAAACTGATTTTTCTTATTTCATCCTCAAACTTTACATCTGTAATTTACAATATGTAAAATGTTAGTTATTCACTAGTTCATTGTACTTGCCCTGCTCATTAGGCATTCGATATTTGAGTTAGTCATTAACATGCAACCTTAGTTAAATGCCTTAAGTTACTTAGTATTACAATAAAGTTGTAGTTGTCAAGTCTCATATATTTACACACAGACATTTATTTGTACATCATGCCTTAGTTTATTTTATGGTACCATATATTTATTTTGACTTACCAAACCACGTGGTGTTTATCCCCGTCACAGCTTCTTATTGTTTGATTTACTTAGCCTTAGATATACTTTAGTTATTCTTTGTTCAGTTCTTTTGCATGATTGGGTGAATGAACCAAACATGTAGTTAAAAAATACACAAAATCAAACAACCTAAATAAAAACCAATAACTAATTGATTAACTAAAATCTGATAAAGCTAATCTAGTGTAAGCATTTACAGGTATAGTTATTCAACTTGGTTATTGTTTGGACTGAGTGACGGACGGTACTGCTCACCTCAGTATACCTTTAACAACTCACTTGCACTTCGCTCACATTTGTTATCTACCGGCCTGGTGATGTATGGATTGTTGTTTTTTAAAAATATAATTGTGGTTGTATATACAATTTGCTTGATTGTCCTGCTCACATATGTGACCAGTCTTAAGGATATCATTCAGATTAGGCTTACGTTGCTTTCAGTATACATTTTGTTCAGGTGTCTGTTCTGAATTTCGAGGTTGCCGTTGTGTACTTCAAACGCTTGTTTTGACCGACCTATTTGCCTTTATCGTGTGTTAACGTACGGCCGTTCGAACCACTTGCGGCACATTCTCGCTTTACATACGTACTTGATTGTCTAACATTTTTCAATCAGGTCCTCATCTTCTTATTCGCCACATGACCTTCAATGGTCACGTGTGTATTAACCTGGTATGCCCTACCATTCTGCAATGAACTATTGCTCTTACGTTATCAGCAATAACGCCAACTTCTCAAATGGATATATTCCATTAGTTTGTTTTTGCTTCTTCTTTATTTCTTTTCTTAGTTCTTCCTCTGGCATTGTGTCAATTAACACTATGGAGTTAAGCCAGGAAGAAATGGAAAGCATGCTAACTGCATTTAAGAAGATGGGTCTCCATCCTAAAGTGGAATCACCCGAAGATCTTAAAACCTGGATACAAGGTATCTCACAAAAGGAACATCCTATTAAACAGGAGGAGAAACATGGAGGTCAAATACCAGCATCACACCGTGATGTTATGTATCAACACTTTCCTAAACTTCCGGTATTTAGTGGCGAATCGGGAAAGGACACAGACTATGACCACTGGATCTACGAGGTAGAATGCCTCATCGCAACCAAGACTCATAGTCATGACGTCATTCTTCAAGCCATTCGGAAGTCACTCAAAGGAGAAGCAGCTATCATATCTATGAAGCTTGGGCCACATGCAGATTTCCAAGAATTACTTCACAAGCTGAAGAGTGCTTTCAGAACACTACGGCGAAGTTCTGCTCTTATGTCAGAATTTTATAGTGCCTGTCAGGCAGAAGATGAGGATGTCGCTACCTGGAGCTGCCGTCTAGATCGACTTATGTTCCATTTATCCAAACAAAAACCTTTATCCCGGGCGGAACAGGACGATATGCTGCGCACTCCATAGGAAGCGACCAGTATCGGCTACCGTCACTTCAGTGCAGATCAACACGCAACCAGAGATGCCTACGCTGTCGCCGGAGATTATAACTGAGGGTCCCGTCACTATCACAGAGAGGACACCCTCTACACCAGCGCAGACCGTCCCAGACGACCTGGTTAACCAAATCATGAAGTTGATGGAAGACCGATACGGTTTACAGAGGCCCCAGAGCCGCGGGCCCCAGAGCCCAACCCATAATAAGTCATACAGGGCCCTAGAGCCCGCCTTGACTTCATGTAGGGCCCTAGAGCCCACAAACGCGCCTCCACGAAGGGCAACCCAGCCCGTAGCGAAGCCTTCGCGAAGAACAACCCAGGCCGCCTCCACGAAGGATCCAGAGCCTCAACAGTTGCGAAGGGCTTCGCGGAGGAGGAGTGCTTCACCGAGCTCACACCCTGTAGAACACAGAGGTCGTTCACGAAGCAGGCTCTCATATAATGATTCGGACTCTGACTCGATACCTTCCCGAACGCCTTCACGAAGGTTAAGTGGCTCAAAGGCATCTTCACCCAGAAGATCTAGAAGGGATTCATCGAGAACTTCACGAAGCCACCAGCGTTCAGCCGAGGAAGTCTCCTCCAAGGTCTCCCTATACTAGCCACTCGTCAGTCCGTTCACCACAATCTTCTCGTCGATCTTCTAACAGATCTAGGACTCCACCTCACTCTATTACATGTGATCCTACGTCAGAAGAGGAAGAAGGTATCATATTCTCAGATGCAGAAATTAGATACTGGATGGTGAATGGATTAGAACTTGCTTCCCCGTCTAAGAACGAGAACTCAGCTCATACTTATTTGATGAAGGAAGATGATGCGGACACTATCACTTTACCTCCTATTGACCCGATAGCAGCGGTTCCAGCTAATCTGGATACAGCCTTTACCAAATCTACAAAATTTCAATCAACACATTTCCCGGTTTTCAACGCCAAGAAATTTGCAGGTCACAATATGGACTCCTTTTTCAAGGCCCAAGAGATTGATGACAACTTCAAGTTAATCAGTGATTCCAAGTCCAGAAATTACAGAATAGACGATCGCAAACTAGCCCAGTTGGATACCATTTCTAGGAGAATGTTTTTTGGATTGAATAGATCTAGAACGGTTAATGAAACTCTCATCACCAAGTTCAAAGATTCTACAGAGGAGGAAGATAGAATGATCTACTCGGCTCTACTCATGCAGAAAAGAGACCATCAGTTCCTTACTGATCACTTGTCAGCACTTACGGAAGCCACTACCATGGCTCGTCGGCAGGGTCTACTAGCCTCCTGCAATTGGGATAATCAATTTACGGAATCACTCTACGCTGCCCCATGGTCATCGCCCCTACTCTTTGGTGGTAACATAGACAAGGTCTCCAAAGAGGTGTCTAAGGACTCTAGAGAGGTGCTTATGATCAAGTCCATGGATACGTTAGCGAACGTCATTAAACAATCATCCTTGAGATACTCTGGCAAGTCTAAATTCTCTGGACTACAGAAAGCACGGGACAAGAAATTGGCTACAGCAAAAGGTCCCAGGGAATCTTTTCGTCGCCCATACAGCAATTTCAGAGGAGGATCAGCAAGAGGCAGATCATCCAGAGGTTTCCGCGGATTTAGACGATGATATTCAGGTTCGGAACGACTGGAGTCTTCCACCCCCAGCCGTTCCAGTACAACCTTCCCAAGTGGGTGGACGCCTTCAGCTGCACTGGGAAAACTGGGGACTACTACAAGATCCTTATGTATCCAACATCCTACAGCACGGATATCAAATACAACTCAAGGCCACACCTCTGTTAACAGTCACCCCTCCAAGGTTCGACTTTCAACCGGCTCAACTACCTATGTTAAGAGAAACAGTAGCTACTCTGCTAAGCAAACAGGCCTTAGAAGTTCTGGATCAGCGAAACATCGTACCAGGTTTCTACTCCCCAGTTTTCCTAGTGCCCAAGAAAAATTCCAAGGAAAAGTTTCGTCTCATATACAACATGAGCATCTTCAACAAAGACTATCTAAGCAAACCGCCAGCGTTTCGCATGATACACTTACCGCAACTTCGGCACTTAATTCGTCCCAAAGATTACATGGCCAGCATAGATTTGCAAGATGCATATCTACACATTCCGATTCATCCCAATTCAAGGAAATATCTAAGATTTATCCTAGACGGGAAACACTACCAATGGAAAGTACTTCCCTTCGGAATCTCATCGGCCCCTTGGGTATTCACAAGAGTGACGAAGCCTATTGTCGCATACCTACATCGTCAAGGTCTTCGCAGCGCATTTTACCTAGACGACGGGATACAAGTGGATCCAGATCCACAGCGTCTCAGACTACAGCTGAACTTTATAATCAAGTTACTAACACAACTAGGATGGTTAGTAAATCTACTCAAGTCGGACCTAGAACCAACGCAAGATCTGCAATTTCTAGGTATATGATTTCTAACAGCCCAGAATCGTATAGTAGTCCCGGAGGACAGATGGATCAAGATCCAACAGTTAATCCCACAAGCCTTACTCTCTCCGCTACCACTACGACAGTGGCAGATCCTATTGGGACTACTCACATCAGCCCAAGACTTGACAGTCAGAGGCAGGCTTCAATTACGTCCGTTACAAGTCCTCATCAATGCGCATCTCGAGGACCCTCTACCGTTCAGTCTACCAGATCACGTCAAACCTCATCTACTCTGGTGGACCAAGAGATTGAATGTTTGCGTAGGCGTCTCCTTATTAGAGCCGGAATCGGAAACACGTCTCTACGTAGACGCGTCACTACAAGGTTGGGGAGCCCACCTCGCCTACAAGACAGCGTCAGGCCTATGGAGCAATCAAGAGAGCAAATATCACATAAATCTGCTAGAGATGCAAGCAGTCATAAACGCCATAAATCACTGGAGCAACCTACTACAGAACACTCAGTTGATGATTCACACAGACAATTCGACAGTGGCGTTTTATGTGAACAAACAAGGCTCAACAAGGTCACCGAACCTACTGTCCCTTTGTTTCCAACTATTCAAGCTAATAGACAATCTAAACATACATGTCAGAGCTTGCCACATTCCAGGAGCAAAGAATGTATTAGCAGACGCTCTCTCTCGGCCACACCTACCGTCGCCGACAGAATGGATGCTCCACACAGAGATATTCACTCAAATAATCATGGAAATAGGATCTCCACTAGTAGACCTATTCGCCACTCGATTCAACAAACAACTGACAACCTTCGTATCGCCAGTTCCAGACCCACTAGCATGGGCAACGGACGCACTAAGCATATCGTGGGAGGGACTCAACGCGTACGCTTTCCCGCCACCAGCGTTAATCCCACAAGTCTTACGGAAAATCAGTCAAACGCAGAGCCTCCATCTGATTTTGGTCGCGCCCTACTGGCCAGCGAAACGTGGTTTCCAAATCTTATTCAAGAAATCGGTCAACCAATTCTACAACTTCCAGAACGCTCGAATCTATTGATACATCCGCACACCAAACAAGTGCACGGGAAACCAGAAGTATTCCAACTTCACGTATGGATTGTATCAAGGCATTCCTGAATAAGAGAGGTTATTCAGCCAGAGCGGCAAAAGCAGTAATTCAACTCGCAACTTATACGATGACAAATGGCACAGTTTTGCCATTTATGCTGCAAAGAAAGGATTTACAGCCAGATATGCTACTCATCCTCAAGTGGCGGACTACTTATGTTATCTACGACAAACTAAGAATCTAAAAGGCTCAACTTTGTCCACTTATCTTGCAGCATTAAGCTCTGTCATAACTATGAGAACGGGCGTCAAGTTAACAAAGACCCCAGAGTTACTCGCTTTGCTACGAGCATTCCGATTGGAGGATCACAAGCGGAAGTTTCAAGCTCCAGCTTGGGATCTAAATATAGTGCTCCAACACCTCATAAATGAGGTTTATGAACCGTTAGAATCTACATCGTTTGAATCACTGACCCAGAAAACTTTTTTCCTGTTAGCCCTAACTACGGCTGCCAGGATGTCGGAGATTCACGCTTTGGATTACAAGAGAACACGCTTTGATGATATTCATAACATCGCACATCTGGGACTACGCTGGGATGTTATAGCTAAGAACCAATTGCCAGGTCAACCAGACAGATTATTCCACGTCCCAGCTCTCTCATCCATTCTTGGACCTCATGATACGATGGATCTATCACTATGCCCAGTAAGAGCACTGAAAATATATCTCCACCGATCCAAACAGAGGAGAGGAAAATTCAAGAGATTATTTATCCCTCTATCTACAGCTACGCAGACGGAAGTCTCACGTACTACTATCTCAATTTGGATCAGAACTGTCATACTACGTGCCTACAAGGCTGCAGGACTCGACCCTCCAAGAGCTTCTAATCCCCATGAAATTAGAGCACTAGCATCAACACTTGCTCTACACGGCAACTGCTCTTTGAATACCATAATGGAGGGCTGTTTCTGGAGATCCGATATGGTGTTTGCCAACCACTATCTGAGAGATATTACCACCAAGGACGTCTCAGGTATCCACCATTTCGGTCCCATGGTCCTCGCTCAACAGTTGACAGTTCCCAGGAGAAGATAAGTCAATCTTACAGATTTATACTTATCAGATATCAGTACTAAATAGCTACATGCTATATATATATTTTGCTTAAGTTCAATCTATTATCTTAAGCTCAGTACTATGTTTATTATATCATACAATATATTAGCTAACAACTCTAGAAGTTTTGCTACTATATTTAGCTTAAGTTTCATCATATCTTAAGCTCAGTAATATGGTCACAATTTATATATACATTAGCTAACAAACTCTACGGAGTTTTTGCTATTATATAGCTAAAGTTAAATTATATCTTAAGCTCAGTACTATACTCATATAGCTTAAGTTTATGCATATCTTAAGCTTAGTACTTTGGTTACTTCATAAAAGTATATTAACTATAAAGTCAAGGAGTTTATGCTATCACATTAACAACTTAAGTCTACTAGTCTTAAGTTTTGTACTAATGTTGTATATACTTTATCATAATAAGTATATTGTAATAGTTATATTGTAATAACCCATATATGGCAGCTGATAACTTAGCAGCAGGAATTCATCAGTTCAGTGCCTTTATGAAGTTCCCATAGGGTTATTACAGTCATTACAATTCAAATCACTAATTATCCAAATCCAAAGTATTATATAATCCCACCTCCATAGCCGTTGGATTCTACAAGCAAAAGGCATGAGTCAGGATAAGGAAAAATATGTAATTTTCTGAGTAAAATTGATATTTTATACTTATCCTGACTCATGAGGTAAGCCCTCCCGTCCTCCCCACATAACACTTTGGATTTCCCTGTAAATTCAAGTGTTGGGCTCGCTACAAAGGAGAGAGTGAGGCACATGGTGGGAGGTGGCGCCCTCGTTCCCGCGCTTACGAGGGGAAAGATAACTCAGGGTGAGTACTAATTAGTGATTTTACATTGAAGGGAACTTCAATTGGGAGATACAAGTGTTCCACTATGTTCGCAAAGAAGAAGAAGACAAGCAAAAAAGCATGAGTCAGGATAAGTATAAAATATCAATTTTACTCAGAAAATTACATTCTGGTGTCCCCTGCCGTGATGTTGATGGAATGTTGCTATAAGCGGCGTAAACCATACTCACTCACTCTGATGCATATTGTACACATGGATTTGTATCTTCAGGATATTTCTCTGAACCAAAACATCTTTCTGCAACAAATTATGTTTTCTAGAATGAGAAGCTACTGATGGTTTGTTCGGATAGTTGAAAGTGTATTTGTGGTGTTTCAGGATAAGTATTCTCGTGTGATGAGAGACAAGGCGGAGTTGACGGACAAGGCAGACATGTTGGAGCACATGGTGACTCAGCTACAAGGGGAGACGGACACTATAGGTGAGCATACATGCACCCCTCAGATGAACAGTGCAGACAGTTTGTTGTACTGCTAGAACAGGTTCGGTTGTTGAAGGGCCTTAATATCGGGATATGCTGCAAGGACAAACTTGACAGTCCTTTGCATTGAAAGATAAATACTAAAACACTCATCGATTCATCTATGTATAAGAACCATATATACTCATGGAAACGAATAAGGGAACACATGAAAGTACGTAAATCATGTAAATCTTCACTCACTCACTCACTCACTCACTCACTCACTCACTCATGTGTACATTTAATAGGTGTCATCATTGATAGAAGTTGTAAGTGTGTAATAATAAGCTGTGAGAACAATGGCTAAGTACAGTGTATGTAATGAAACTTTCAGCTGCTGTGAGGTAAACACTTTGTAGAAAATGTAGATATACTGCTTCAGTATTTGGCCTCCAGAAGGTGCTTGTCTGCTGTGAGCTCAGTGATGTTCTGTGTTTGTAGGCGAATACATCTCCCTGTACCACCACCAGAGGGCACTGCTCCAGCAGCGGGAACATCAAAAGAATGATTACATCACCCAGCTGGCCAGGGACAGAGAGGAGATGCAGGTATGAGTTATTCACAGGTTGACTTTACTGGAGCACATGGATGGGAAAATCAGCAGAGGCCACTGAGCATGTATTTGACTGTATGTTTGGTACATGTATTGCTGGACCAGCTCATGTATGTATTTGACTGTATACATCTGACCTGTGTTGCAGGGTAAGCTCGGCCAGCTCCAGGCCTTGGTGATGCAGCTTCTGGGGGAGAGGAACATGCTGCACAGCTACACCGAGGAGGCCTCGCGACCCGCCGACAACTCCGACCTCGAGCAGCATCTCAACTCCTCCATTTCACACAAACAGGGCCACAAACATCACCATCATCATAGGAGTGCGATGACGAATGGCGTCAACAATAACTATGGTAAGCTGGGAGTCTTAAAAGTTAGTAAGTTAATAAGCTGTCCTTGGATATTTTCCTTACTCTGTCTCAAGAGTAATTAAGATGGACTGCAATCGCACAATTATTTTGTTATACTGAATCTAAACTTTTCATACTGCAAACCTTTGCTTATCCCCTGTATTTGAAAAGATCTACATCGCTAGGTTTCATTTGATTCTGAAGTGTGAAGATCCAGATTCTAACTGATCATCAGCAATCCATACTTGTCATTAGAGGAGACAAACAGGTTAGACTCATTGACATGGTTGATAAATATGATGTCCTGATTTCATTGATTGATGCCCTCCTGTCAGTCCAGACGGCAATAGGTGGATAGTTGTGGAGTGCGGTATTGAACAAACAAGTCGTGATTCCATGTGAATTTTTTCTGTCTTCATGATATAAATGCCTTAGATTCAAGGAGTACTTGAGTGTTGCATCATCAGTTTGTGCCAGAAACTTCTTGATTGGAGTTGGAATGAGTGGTTTTGTATAATTTTATGTAGATTTTTGTGTTTATGTTTGGACAAGAATTAACTGTTCTCATTAGAAATGAAAAGATGTTCACTGGCATGAGAAATGTCTAAAGTTACGGGCTGTTATATAGTCTTCAATTCCATCATTTTCTGTTCTTTCTGTTAGAGTGGCCCGACTACACAAGTTCAGAGAGCGACAGTGAGAGTGAAGTGGAACCCATAGTGGGTGGAACCCATGACACCGACTCAGCCACACCCACTGAAGAAATCAACCAGCCAATGTTAACTGATACTCCATCCCCTGACCAATCACTATCCGCAGAGAACACAGACATGAATATTCATGAGGAACATCATGCACATGTCACCAAACATATGCATCGAACTCTTCCAGAGGAGGACCAAACCGCACACCGAATTCTTCATTTACTGTCAGAAATCGGCCATTCCAATTTGGTGGAGAAGGCGCCTTTCACGGAAAGGAACTTCCTACCATGCAAGTTCTGCCAAGGGCCAATCCATATTGTTTAACAGATGTACAATCTATGTAGATATGTACATAAACTGAATGATATTGTATAGACACGACGACTGGGTTGGGGTATGCTGGAAACCCACGCCACTAAACTACCTGCTTTGTTTGTGAGGAGCAGACTCAATAACCATGCCTTGACTAACAAACTGACCATCTCAGCGTTGTCCGAATGTCGGACCAGACTACAGAAATCTCTGGGAATGGTCTGAGGAGCAGCATGTGAATGTGTGTGGTGGTGATCTTCCGGATTTAGGATGGACTGAGTATTAGAAGTCTTGTATTAAATCTGAATAATCGTGTGTAATATACTGCAATACAACATGCTGTAAATATGTTACTTCTAGGAGTGTCTGTTTAAAAACAGAATGTACTGATGCAGACTTTAACTCAGTGAAGATGTTTGACGGATGACTTGCGAGTAAAGTTACAGTTTTGCCAGGGTTGTATGTGACTCTGACCGTGACCCAGCTTGGAGCGACATCATTCTGAAGTGTGATCCTCAGATTGCCCTGTTCTCTCGTCCTTGTCAAGTTAGGGACACAATTATATGTCATAAAATATTGGGTGTGTCATAGATTTGCTTGGGAGGGCTCATGGCTTAAAATGTAATTGCTTTGAAGTTGTTATTGTCCTTGAACTGTCCATTTTAAACAAGAAGTTGTTATTTTGAAGGATACTTTTAGGCCACAAATACAAATCATTTTGACAGACTTCTGTATCAGATGTCAGTCGATTTTAAGTCCTCAGATAGCTGTAAATGAGACACTCCTACCGAAAATCATAAATTATTATAATGAATATATAGGTGTAATTTTTCCAAGATTGATTGCATTGGAATATGTTAAACTTATCTGGCCAAATGTTCATGATTATCAAAGCGGGTAAATAATTTCACATAGTCCCCGAAATTGTCCTTACTGTCTGTTTCTGTGTAAGTTGCTTTCTTCAGTTTAATCCCCATTGTTAGGACTACGAGATTTGCTACATTAACAGGGTTTGGGATAGAGAACTTTGACAATGGGCCATTTTCATGATTATTAGCCATTTTCTGAATTTAGAATGGACCACTGCCCTTGTATGAATAGTAAACCTCAAAATTTTAATGGGCCATATTTTATTCTAATGTGCAAAATGGCCCATGGCCCCTTCCTTTCCCAATCCCTGCATTATGTGGCCTGATCAAATAAGTACACTGAAAGACAAGTGATGAGACAGCCAGCATGTTCTTGTGTATTTTACAGACATTTTTACAAGTAAATTAGCTGTGCAGAAGGCACTCATAATTAAAAAAAAGTTTACTTTCTATGGATAATTTGGACTGTATGTTCAGTACAGTGAAACCTGCCAACACCGGCACCTGTCTAATCCGGCACAATGTCAAAACTGGCATAAAATGTTGGTCCCGCCATTTTACGACGATACTATGATCATTAAACCATTGTCTAATCCGGCACCTGTCTATTCCGTATTCCGGCACGACTTTCCGGTCCCAACAAGCAATTTTAACTGTAATTAACATTGTCTAAACCAGCATGGGTATGAGCAGTCCAATCAAGGACCCATAATCCAATACACTAATTAATCCTCTTGTCACGCAAATTAATCAGTAAAGTAGTGATTGGGCGGTGAATCAAACACTCTAAGCCGGCATGGGTATGAGCAGTCCAATTAAGGTCCCTTAATCCAATACACTCCTCTCGGCACGCTAGATAATCAGGAATAAAGAGATTAGCGAGTGCAAATGGCAGCCATGATAGTCACTGTCTAATCCGGCACCCTGTCTAAACCGGCATTTTATTTCGGTCCCGTGGGGTGCCGGTTTAGACAGATTTCACTGTACTGCAAAATCTCTGGAAAGACATAAACTCAATTATAGTTTTAATTAGCTCCTCGTTTTCCTAAAGGGCTTAACTCGATCTTCACAGAATGATTCTCAATGTAGATGCAACGTCTAGAAATCAAATACCTACTTTCTCATTTTGAAGAACTTGAACTTTTTGTCCTATGATGGATGTATTCAGAAGCTGTTGTCCATGTATCCACAGTACTTGGTGGTCAGGGTTGCAAGCAATTATGTCATTGTTCATCTACCATCTAGTTACAGTGTAACCTGTGCACCTTGTACATTCTTCATTTGATGGCATGAACAAAAGGGAGACATTGTAGCTGTCATTGAAAAGAAGCTGGTTCATCTGATGATGCAGTTCATTGTGCAGTTGCATCCCACTGGCATGCCACAATCGTTCGTTGTAATTCTAATTTAGCCTTTTTACAGTTCTTGCTTTGTTGCAACACCTGTGGTGTCTCAGAGCTGCATCAGTTCCTGACCCATTACGTGGATACGCCCTTATATCACTGAGAAATGTTCCAAGTTGCATTTACCCAACACCTCACTGTATCAGTGCATCTGTGTTCTGCCATCATCACTTGCAGTTGCACAGTCTCTGTGGGATGTAGAAATGCCTGAAACAACATATTTCCTTTAATTGTTCAGTCTGTAAGGATGATCGTGTCAGCTCATCTGTAACTAATTTTGCAGTAGGGATCCTTTCTGTAATCTCTTATGTTTCTGAAATGATGCAGTGTCAACCCTGATGTTAAGGTTTTCTATACAAAACACCATTATTCCACAGCTCTTAATGTTGAGCACTGCCATGGCAACCAGCAAGACATAGTATGGATAACAGCCAGTAGGGTGTAAACATGGTTACTGATTCATAATCTCATTGTGGCCAACTTGGTTTTTCTTATTTCAGTTTGATCACAGATTAAACAGCCATTTGTTGAGAACATGGTGACAGAGCTGCTTTTCATGTCTTGTTGCCGCATGTAGTAGATGACACTACAATGTTTTGTGGGGATGGTAGTTTCTTAAAGTCAAATATCATTGCTGACCCTTCTGTGATGCTGTTGTTAAAGTCTGAACCAGATCTGTCGAAATCTGATTCTTTGATGTACATTGTACACTTGGAGTTGAAATGTCCACTTTGGTAATTGTATCATGCTGAAATTTCATCTTCACCTAAACATTAGGTTTGGTGTGATCAAATAGTCACCAGATCTATCTCCCCCACTGAGAGGTCTTGTGAATGCTTCCACCCTAACCTACTTGACATTCTGTCATCCCCAACCCCCATCCCCACAGGCATCCAAACCCCTCCCCAAGTCAGCACCTCAGGGGAACATGGGAGTTACTAAGACAGTGCATGGTATAGCACAGGGAGAAGCTGCAGCTAGGAGGACAACACCCTAACACTCAATGCCTCTGTTGTGCCCCCAGGTTCCACGACATGGGCTGGCCTACAGTGTGTGAGTGTATTGTAGTGTGAGGTTGATCTGGTGCTGCTGGGCCCAGCACACAGTATTGAATACTGCTGCTTGAGTGAAAGGCTGTGAGCTGATAATGGAGCCTGTTGGAGAAGAACTCCACTCGTCTGTGATCTGTAGATTATTTTGTGTTTGTAGTAATTTTTCTTTGTTAGTCGGACTGCATAAGAAAGCCCACTAGAACTGGAATCTAAACAAAATTGTAGATATGTTTCCACAAACCGTTCAGTTTGCTGCTGCTGCATAAGACAACTTCTGTGAAAAACTGAAAATGAACCTGTGAAGGAGAGGAATTCTTTACTTGAAGACATAATGGATGCCATGGTTCCGAAATGTTGGTTGGAGCAGAGTATTAGCCAAGTGTGACCACATGGCAGCCACTGTATGCTGTATACATGCTTACTTACACAAGTATCACTAGATTCACTAACATACAGTTACCTATCCTCATATTTGATCTCTTCCCGAGAATGTGATTCTCAATTTCAATAAATAAGATGTACCAATAGTGCTTTTCAAACCCCTTTGCAATGTACTAAGCTTCTTGTTCATATTCATCTTAGCTGACAGCACTGTTCCTTTCGTGTTTTGATGATGATGATGATGATGATGATGATGATGATGATAAACCATCAACTAAATATTGATTATCTGTCTTACAAATAATCTTCATGTCATTCTGCCAGCAGTAATGGTATAATGCAGTTTAAGTATCCACTCACTCACTCACTCACTCACTCAATCACTTGTACTCATGCCAAAAACATTCTAAAGTATATGAAAGGTAGTTTCTTCAAGTGGGTGAAATTTGGCACTTTCGATATTTTGTGTTCAGTATGCCAAATTTTTTCCCCTGACCAATGTGTGATCATGGCTTGAAGTTTGTATTATTTTGGGATGTTTCTTTTGTTTTGCTGATGTAGTAGTGGTGAAAGGGATGTTTTCATGGGTTTTGTTTATAGTTCCACTGTGGTATCTTCTTTGTGAAGGTAAAGCCTGAGTCTACATGCTTGAAGGCAGTGCAGGGTACAGGTAATGGCTTGTTAATCAGTTTGTCCTGAACTTGTTCTCATTTTATTTTCTAATTTGAATGCACAAGATGTTTGTTGAAGTATTGTTTCCAACCATAATGGAAATGTTTTTCTGTGAATTAACCAGTAAATTTGTAGTTACTTCTGTCTCAAACTGCCTTTTGTCTTAACATATATTTTCATACCTGTCAAACCTTTGGATAATATTGTAATGCTGACATTTTAAAACATGACATAACAGTCTTATGAAGTATTGATGTGATTGCATTGATGTAGAGATGTCACTGTTTTGGTGCTGCGTCACCAGGTATTTCAGACATCCAGTTCAAGCATGCAGGTTATATGGTTCATCAGCCTGTCGGGTGGAAGATTTGTCCGTAAATATCAACATGGACTTTTTTGGGCATCATGGGCTAGTTTGAATCAGGCCTGAGTTACTCTTATTCAATATCGCATTACTTTTATTCCTCCAGTAGTTGCATTCATAATTTATGGTAAATGAACACTGTTGGGCTTCTTCCTTGAGGGGGGCGGTGGGGTAGCCTAATGGTTCAAGCGTTGGCTCGTCACGCCGAAGACCCGGGTTCGAATCCCCACATGGGTACAATGTGTGAAGCCCATTTCTGGTGTCCCCCGCCGTGATGTTGCTGGAATATTGCTAAAAGCGGCGTAAAACCAAACTCAGTCAGTCAGTCTTCCTTGAGGGTGACCCAGTGATCAGTGCCGATATCCCAGCTGGGCTCCATCATGTTTCTGGGTTTGCTAGTACCCAGGCCTTGGGTTTCACCAACGTTGGTACCCAAACCTTGGGTTTCACCAACGTTGTTACCCAGACCTTGGGTTTCACCAACGTTGGTACCCAGACCTTGGGTTTCACCAACGTTGGTACCCAGACCTTGGGTTTCACCATCGTGGTAAACAACTAAATCCTATGTCACTTGGTCCTTCTTCCCACTTTAATCAGACTTGCTGTGATATACCGGTAGCTGATAAAACTAGCAACCCACTGACTGTTAAATTCCTTAAACTGCATTTGTGGAAAAGATATGTTATTGTGGGCTTTAAGACACTTGTTATAACCTCTTCGCTTGTTCCTTTTATCAACTGATATAAGGTACATGTATTTCCACGTAACAGTGTTTAGACTTAAAATTGCTGCTCTCCATGTGGACTGTTTCTGTCAGTGTTTTTTACAAATTCATTGCTCATTTTTAGTTCCAAACCTGGATCAGTATTGCTGACACTGGTTATTATGTATTTTATTTATTTATGCATGCAAGGTTGGGAATATGTACTAAAGAATGAAATAATGGATGCATATTTATATTGTTATGTAATATATTATGTCAAATATATTTCCAGATACATCATCTTAACCTTCGCTGTTTGTTGTATGTTCAAGACTGTTGAGACACAGTTTTGTGTCGTGAGTTGAAGAGACCTATGTAAATAATTATGAGTAATTATTCAAGTTATCAAAGTTTCGACAGAACTGAAACATGATGAATATTGAAAACGTACAAAGGGACGAAGCTTTTACTTCAAGAGATCTGTAAGTTTGACACTTCAAAGTTTGACAGAACGGTATTTAACTATTAATATCACGTACTCCTTTTGGTGAATGGTGGGTACGATAAGATTCCAGTACCACATGCTTTTTGGAATGAAGATTGGCAGACTAAGGAAGACTTGGTGGCAATAATGTGAGGCGTGCTTTTTGTCTGAGAAGGGCAGTTCTCGACTTCTCCCTGGCAGATCCCATCTGTGTTGTGTGAACTGAGTCTTGTCCATTATATTGCTGCAATACTGCCTACTGCATTCTCTTCCCACAGAGGTTACTCCTGTCATATCTTCCTACGTAACCTCTGTTCTAATACGGCCCTTTCATGGTGTGAGCGTTCAAGACTCGTGATTGGAGGCAATCAGATTTAGTTGTGCAATCAACGACGTTGTTTCAAAAGTGATCATTCGCAAGGCCTCGGTAATTTCCGTATGCTTCGAGAAAACTAAACCTCTTCCCCTGCGCGATGCGCAAACGTTTCTTCTAGACAGAACTCAGTCATGTTATGGCGCATCAGTGACGTCTCGATCGCCCTCGTTGACAACGGACAAGCTAGCCATTAAACGTCTTGTGTGTAATATCAACACAAGTCCCCGGCAGATGGGGGATATTTGTGGCCCCACATTTGCTTGTGTTAGTCAAGTTGAATCTAAGTCGATGTAACACGTGTTCTGATTGGATAGAAAGAAGGGAGATAATTCGTGTTGCGATCTTTTGCCGCTAGGGGATTTTACAAGAACCGGGAAATATGGCCGTATTAGAACAGAGGTTCGTAGGAAGATATGACAAGTAACCTCTGTGAGAAGAGAATGTGCCTACTGTGGCCCCAACTCGGTTTGTTAGTGGTTGTGTGAGAAATCATGTTTCAAGATCAAGCTGAATACATAAAGGGGACAAGCTTTTATATATACCAATAATAAAAAGTTAAGCGCCAGCCTATTTCAAAACTAAGATGTGAAGCTGTGGAAATGTTAGGCTAAAATAATTGGGAAGACCAATCTATATTTAGAGAAGGTTCATCTGGTAACTGATTTAGGGATATCATAATCATTTGATTGAACCTGTGAAATGACCTGGATTCGAATTCTTCACCTGATGTCCTGGGGATGTTCTAGTGCTTGTGGGAGTTAAATTATTCGCTTATCAGGCCAAAGGCACGGTTCGATTCCCCACATAGGTACAATGTGTGAAGCCCATTTCTGGTGTCTATGTTTATAATAATAATACTTTATTTGCCCGAGAAAAGAATTCTTTTTACAACAGTGAGGCATACAGCATGGTTAAAACAAATTAAGCAAAGAACAACGATCACCTTAAACACACAGATAAACAGGATGAGAAGGATAACTAGTGTATACTGTAAGAGACTAGTAGTCAAATGCATTTAAAATTATGGCTGGGTCTAACATTCATTTAAACGTCTAATGCTAACAGGTATAAAAGATGTTTGGGACCCTTTTGTGCGAACTTTAGGGACGAGGAATCTACGTCCAGATGGTAAAAGTTTAAAACAAGAATGTAAATCATGAGATGGGTCGGATAAAATTTTGTTCGCAGACATTAAAACACGATTCTCATACATATAACAAAGGGGGTTAAAATACATGCCTATAGTTTTTGAACAGATGGTTACAACTTTTTGCAGTTTGTTTTTGCTTTGGAGAGTAAGGGCACCGAACTTTGGTAAAAGCGGGGGAAATCAAACTCACTCACTCACTAGCTATCGTGGCAGACGTCGAGAAATTTTGTTCTGATGCATTCACTGTTGGGAGAGGAATAGGAGACCATCAGGCTATGCACATCATTCATTTCATTCTGCACCGGATAATGTCTGACAATATATGTCACATGTTCTGCAGTTGTCTTGATACGTTACTCACGGAGACGTTTATTTAGGAAGGTGGTGGCAACACGCTGAATGTCTCATCTCTATAAGACTGAACGTTAACGGTGAGGTACCTCAATCACAATCAAACGACTGCTGATACCCAACCACCAAAGTGATGTTCAAGGAGTGTGGCTCCTCTTCCACAAAGCGAACTCAGCGATGATCGTAAGTCAGTGTTAGAGGTTAAGAGTTAAGATCTCCTTGATTTTGAGTTAAACTGCGATCTCTTTCTGAAACGAGCTTGTTGTCGACGAAACGCTCACCTCGACCTGGATACATCCACCTGAACAAGACGTGTGTGTGTGTGTGTGTGTGTGTGTGTGTGTCGCTCGGCATTAATGGGTACAACAAGGACTGGTCGGCTCGGAGTCAGTATAATGTGTCTGAGTGGGGTATTCATGCTTCACTGCGGCATGGTATCTCAGTGGGCTAGCACTATAAAACCAGCTTAAGTCTGGGCTAGTACAAGCAGCTGCACATACACATACACACGCATGTACGTCGTCATATGAGCGAAATAGTCTCAAGCACGACGTTAAACCCAATTTCACCTCACCTCATCTTAGCACTGCCACTGAGAAACCAAGTCAGTTTTGTGACACTATCGAACAAGTTCCTGATACATGGCACAGATCTGCACCCTGTTGACAGGGCAAGATTCAAGACATGTGATCTACAATGTACGACGACGGCATTTGGATACAGTGCTGCAATTTTTGGCTGTACTCCATTGAGGCTCGAACTCATAACATCAGGCCTATCGTAGCCTTGTCAACCTAGATACTTCATGTTCATGACATGTTGGTAATCAGTAGAGCCAAGTAATCTGCAAGTTGATGCACGAAGTGCCACTGATGTCCTGTCACCAGGTGGAACAAAAACAGTCACAAAACGATAGTTCGATAAATGTATCATAGACTGGGAGGGGGATAGCTGGGGCAATAATACGGCCAGAAAAGGCTCGAGCCGGGGAAAGACGGGTTGCGGGACACAACAAGTCAAACTTCAATTGCTTTCAATGTGCATGCTAAGGACCTTTTTGTCTGACATAATAACCATTTGAGAATTTTTTAAAAATCATATGCACAACTTGGAATGATAACAAGGAATGAATCATAATTAGGAATGATAACAAGGAATGAATGATAATTAGGAATGATAACATAGAATGAATGATAATTAGGAATAACAAGGAATGAATGATAATTAGGAATGATAACTAGGAATGAATGATAATCAGAAATGATAACAAGGAATTATAATTAGGAATGAATGATAATGAGGAATGACAACAAGGAATGAATGATAATTAGGAATGATAACAAGGAATGAATAATAATTAGGAATGATAACAAGGAATGATAACTAGGAATGAATGATAATCAGGAATGATAACACGGCGAAATGATAATAGGAATAATAACAAGGAATGATAACTAGGAAAGAATGATAATCAGAAATGATAACACGGCGGAATAATAATAAGGAATGTTAACAAGAATGATAACTAGGAATGAATGATAATCAGGAATGATAACACGGAATGATAATTAGGAATGATCGCAAGGAATGATAATTAGGAATGATAACTAGGAATGATAATCAGGAATGATAACAAGGAATGATAATTTGGAATGATAACAAGGAATGAATGATAATTAGGAATGATAACACGGAATGAATATTTAGGAATGATAACACGGAATGATAATCAGGAATAACACCGAATGATAATTAGGAATGATAACAAGGAATGATAACTAGGAATGAATGATAATCAGGAATGATAACAAGAAATGATAACAAGGAATGAATGATAATTAGGAATGATAACAAGAGATGAATGATAATTAGGAATTATAACAAGGAATGATAACTAGGAATGATAACAAGGAATGATAACTAGGAATGATAACTAGGAATGATAGCAAGGAATGATACTTAGGAGTGATAACAAGGAATGATAACTAAGAATGAATGATAATCAGGAATGATAACAAGGAATGAATGATAATTAGGAATGAATGATAATTAGGAATGATAACCCGGAATGGATAATTAGGAATGATAACACGGAATGATAATCAGGAATGATAACACGGAATGATAATTAGGAATGATAACTAGGAATGATAACAAGGAATGATAACTAGGAATGATAACTAGGAATGATAGCAAGGAATGATACTTAGGAATGATAACAAGGAATGATAACTAAGAATGAATGATAATCAGGAATGATAGCAAGGAATGAATGATAATTAAGAATGATAACTAGGAATGATAACAACGAATGAATGATAATTTGGAATGATAACAAGGAATGAATGATAATTAGGAATCATAACAAGGAATGATAAGAATGAATGATAACACGGAATGATAATTAGGAATGATAACAAGAATTGATAATTAGGAATGAATGATAATCAGGAATGATAACACGGAATGATAATTAGGAATGATAACAAGGAATGATAATTAGGAATGATAACAAGGAATGATAACTAGGAATGAATGATTATCAGGAATGATAACACGGAATGATAATTAGGAATGATAACAAGGAATGATAACTAGGAATGATAACAAGGAATGATAACTAGGAATGAATGATAATCAGGAAAGATAACAAGGAATGATAATTAGGAATGATAACAAGGAATGATAATTAGGAATGATCATCAGAAATGATAACAAGGTATGATAATCAGGAATGATAACTAGGAATGATAAGTAGGAATGATAATCAGGAATGATAACATGTGTTTGTTTGTTGGTTGCTTAATGCAAGACTTGCCAACATTCCACCTATGTGGTGGTGGTCTGTAAATAATCGAGTCTGGACCAGACAAACCAGTGATCAACACCATGAGCATCGATCTACGCAACTGGGATACAATTACATGTGTCAACCAAGCGTTCGAGTCAGACACCCGATACCGTAGGTCGCCTAATACAACAATTAAGCTTGGGTTGCTGAACATCAATTCTAACCCGGATCTTCACGGGTAACGTCAGGAAGTGAAACCTATACTGTTAAAAAATGTCTTTTGGAAGATTGTAGAAAAGTTATCAGGTCCTGTAAACAGCAGATACAGTAATCACGTCAGTAATGCTGCGGTTTTATCCTCGAATTAGTTTCTCTCCTAATTATTATTCCTAGTTATCATTCATTCCTTGTTATCATTCTGATTTGAGACCACCGATTAACCAATATCGTGTAGTTTCCAAAGTCGTGCTAGAGTTTGAAGACAAGCCTACTGTTATAAAATTTGAGACTGTCTCACCAAATGATCGATACCTCAAGTTTTTCAAGTTGGACCCGTAGGCTAACAGAATAAACAAAACTTGTGGCCGTTTTGTCAAAGTCCATTTGGCCATTTTCTACAATGGCCGTTTTCCGCTTAGACCAGTGCGATCCGTTACGTCGCGAACGTTAGCGAGTAAGCCGTCTCACATTTCACATATTTGACACAGGTATGTCAGCTTTTTCATGAAGTTTACTTTCTACGATAGATCATTGTCATAAGAATACAAGATATAGCCGAATATGAATGACTGACAACGATTGTTACATTGATAAAGTTAGATCGGCCCGGCTCATCTCGCTTACAACGATTTCAGGAAGTTGTTAAAACGAAAATAGGACGTTAAATATTAAGTCATCCCGCCGGTTGTACCAGTTGGATATGATCTACGCGAGGTTACCTTCCGAGATGTAAGAATGGACACATTTCAAAATGTTTTAAGAGAGAGATGTATTTATGCCCAATGTGCCCCAACAAACTTACACCACAACGCCGCTGTTTCAGAAATTCGAAACTTAAGAAAACGCTTTATATCTGGTCATGGTGTGTATTTGAAACATTTTAAAAGTTTCATTTACCACCACATAATTTCTATGGTGGCACTGCTATCTTACATGGGTGAATTACTTTAATGTCAGTACACTCTCTTGACACCTTTCGCTCTGAACTGTGACAGGTGAAAACGAAAGCGGTACCCAGCGAAAACGGTACCCAACGAAAACGGCATCTGTCGTTTAAGCCATCGTACAAACATAACACTTGCGTCTCTAATTGGCAGCATTTAAGAACAAATATTTTAAAATCTCTGTCAATATCTCCCGTATCTCCAGATCAGAATGTATTTCTTTATTTCATTGATGGTGATCCATAATGGCCCCAGTTTTACAACCTAATATTTATGTCTACATTCACAAACAGCATGTACAAATCTTTCCACACCCAATACCTCCCTGCTAACTCTTTACCATCGTACATTAATAATCCCTGTGTTACATGTAATCAGTCATGCAAACAATCATCAACAAACATGAAGAAAGTAGGGGCTCTTCAAGATGATGTGCATAATTCAACTTTATGGGACCAGTTTGCACATTTCAATTTTTCGCCTAGAGCAATAGATATTTCATATATTGGTCTCAAACAGATATTGTACTGATATACATTATTTTAATGCTACATTGCTGTTACTTATTTCAGAATTCAGTGTACCACAACACAAACAGTAAGGGCGGAAACGATGGCATCAAACTTCGTTTTGAAAAAACCTGTGTTGCAGCAACTGTGACGAACTGCAGGAGCTTGTGGTATTATCCTGTTACCATGGTATCTGCAAAACCTGTCTCAAAGCTGGTGATCGAACAAAGGATGGGAAATCAGTCACGTTGTGTCCAGTTTGTAACACGCAAGTCACCTCATCAGAAGTAAATGATGATCTTCGATCACAACTGAATACGTGTATGAGTCAAGCCTTTCAATATTTTGGAAAAAATGTATTGAAGACGGAAACAAGCTCCTGTAGCATTTGTTGTTTACGAAACCTGCACAACGAAGTGACCCACCAGTGTCTCGACTGTGGCGATGTTCTGTGTGATGTCTGCCAGAAAGGACACTGTGCATCAAGGATCACACATGATCATAGGGTGGTACCTATTGAAGATGTGAGGAGTGGGAAGTTTGTGGTAGCTGAGGCACAGGCAGCCCTGCCCTGTAGTAACACGACACACAAGGGAGCCACGTGTACTTACTTCTGCCAGACTTGTGGCAAACTGATGTGTGAATTGTGTCTTCTGTTTGAACACAAAGGTCATGAGATCCTACCGTTACAAGAAGCTGCCAGACAGTGTGGGAAACAGCTGGAAGAACAATCGGTAAAACTTGAAACTTACCTCACTGAGATAACATCAGTGCTTGAAATGAACAGCAGTCGGCGTGAGAGTATTATTGCATCCCGAGAAGACACTCTAAAAATACTGCGGGAGAAGACTCAGGCTATAGTAGGTTTGATTCACGAACAGGAGCAAAAGGCTGTAGATAAGGTGACACGCTTGTGTGAGAGTCAGCTCCTCCTTGTCAGTACGATGAACTACAAATTGGATCAAATTACAAAACTATGCCCAAAAGTGTTGTCGCTTACTCACTCAGTTCTTGAAGCCAGAGAGGATCTCCACTTGCTTCTTCTTTGCAATGATCTTGAGAAATGTTTCAAAGAAAGTCAACAATTACAGGATTCGATGCTAGCTTTTGAAAACAAATGGAAGATACCCAGGTTCAATGTGAAGTGTGATTTTCCAAATAGCTCTGTTATCGGTATAAAACAGTCATTTGTCAGTCCACATCTGGTGCAAGAAGAGAGCAAGGAAAGAGTTATCTTGTCAGATGATGCAAATGGAGGTCAGATCACTTCAGCTCATCCAGGTGGCAAGCAGTCAGTCAAGTCATGCAATGCTGAAGACACTTCCACCCAGAAACAAGCTCGGCCCACCAGACCACAAGGTAAAGTCGGAGCCAACAAGCAACACCTGCCTACAAAGGATCAGATGGTTATCTGTAGTAATGGAATCTTGACTGACACAGTGCATAGTAATGATACTGAAGGCATGTCAGGTTATTCCACACATGATGATACATCACTTGAGGAATCTGAGGATGGATTCCAACTGACCAAGTCTGTGGTGATAGTCGGTAAAGGAGGAACGCAGTTGACAAACAGTCTTCCAGGATCTCAAACCACTGTCAGAAGCAAAGAGTCTGGTTCTGGCATTGGGTCCAGATTGGAAAAATATGAAGAGCTGACCTCTCAAGGATACAGTGTCCTTGCGGCTAATCCAGTTCTTGTGGAGAAGCGGTCACCTCAGGATGGACATAATGCCCAATCTGACAATCCTGACAACTCTAGAAGCCCAGGTCAACGCAATGTCAGAGCTCTCCAACTTCAAAAGACGAACCACTATCATTTGAGGGTGGTGAATGATAAAACAGATCCGGAGATCAAAGGTTTGGCAGTTGCCTCAGGTAATACAACCATTGCAGACAACGGGAACAAGAAGATTCGGCTGATTGACAAGAAGGGACATTCAGCAAACATGACCAAGAATATATTGAAGGACAACATACCTGCTCATGCCCTTGTCCATCTTGGGCATGTGGTTGTTTATATTTGTGGCTCTTGTATCTACATTGCTGATAAATCTCTACGAACCCAGTTGGTAATACAGCTGAAAATTGATAAATCAGCCTGTCGTGGGCTGATTCTGTGCAAATACACAGATACATCGTTTATGGTCGGGAATCTTCCTGAGAACCTGGTGCGGGTGTACAGTATTAATGGTCAACTGATGTCCACGAGACGGGCTCCTGTTCCTGGCCCAATAACAGCCATGTCTCTGACCAATGATGAGGATATCCTGTTTAGTTGTCCAGGAGCTGTGTCACAGATCCAGAAGTATGGTAACGTAACTCAAGTCTTCAGACCTCCAAATATCTCAGATTGGTTCCCAGAGGGCACCTGTATGGACAGGTGGAACAACTTGTATGTTGCCAATTCGAGACAGAATCAAATCCATGTGTTTGGCCAAGGGGGTGAACAGCTTTGCATCCATTCAACGTTGAGTGATAATCTGGAGTCACCTCGGTGTTTAGCAATATCATTGGACAGACTGATTGTTTCAGGAGATCATCCACATCTGTTTGTTTATACCATTCTTGAAGTGTAAATACAGGTCTGGTTGTGTGGATTCATGATGTCTCTTTTCAGGAACACGTCCATTTGTGTGGATACATGGTGTGTATTTGTGTGGATACACGGTGTGTATTTGTGTGGATAGACGGTGTGTATTTGTGTGGATACATGGTGTCTATTTGTGTGGATACATGGTGTGTATTTGTGTGGATACATGGTGTGTATTTGTGTGGATTCACAGTGTGTACTTGTCTGGATACACGGTGTGTTTTTGTGTGGATACAAAGTGTCTATTTGTGTGGATTCACTGTGTATTTGTGTGGATACATGGTGTGTATTTGTGCGGATTCACAGTGTGTATTTGTGTGGATACACAGTGTGCATTTGTGTGGATACACGGTGTGTATTTGTGTGGATACACAGTGTGTATTTGTGTGGATTCATGGTGTGTATTTGTGTGAATACACGGTGTGTATTTGTATGAATACACCGTGTGTATTTGTGTGGATGCACAGTGTGTATTTTGCGGATTCACTGTGTATTTGTGTGGATTCATGGTGTGTATTTGTGTTGATTCACAGTGTGTATTTGTGTGGATACACAGTGTTTATTTGTGTGGATACACGGTGTGTATTTGTGTGGATTCACGGTGTATTTGTGTTGATTCACTGTGTATTTGTGTGGATACACTGTGTGTATTTGTGTGGATACATGGTGTGTATTTGTGTGGAGTCACAGTGTGTATTTGTGTGGATACATAGTGTGTGTTTGTGTGGATTCACAGTATTTGTGTGGATACATGGTGTGTATTTGTGTAAATACACCGTGTGTATTTGTGTTGATTCACAGTGTATTTGTGTGGATACACGGTATGTATTTGTGTGGATACATGGTGTGTATTTGTATGGATACACAGTGTGTATTTTTCTGGATACATGGTGTCTATTTGTGTAAATACACCGTGTGTATTTGTGTTGATTCACAATGTATTTGTGTGGATACACGGTATGTATTTATGTGGATACATGGTGTGTATTTGTATGAATACACCGTGTGTATTTGTGTGGATGCACAGTGTGTATTTTGCGGATTCACTGTGTATTTGTGTGGATTCATGGTGTGTATTTGTGTTGATTCACAGTGTGTATTTGTGTGGATACACAGTGTTTATTTGTGTGGATACACGGTGTGTATTTGTGTGGATTCACGGTGTATTTGTGTGGATTCACTGTGTATTTGTGTGGATACACTGTGTGTATTTGTGTGGATACATGGTGTGTATTTGTGTGGAGTCACAGTGTGTATTTGTGTGGATACATAGTGTGTATTTGTGTGGATTCACAGTATTTGTGTGGATACATGGTGTGTATTTGTGTAAATACACCGTGTGTATTTGTGTTGATTCACAGTGTATTTGTGTGGATACACGGTATGTATTTGTGTGGATACATGGTGTGTATTTGTATGGATACACAGTGTGTATTTTTCTGGATACATGGTGTCTATTTGTGTGAATACATAGTGTGTATTTATGTGAATAGGTGCTGTATATTTGTGTGAATATGTGATGTTTGTGTGAAGACATTTTATCTATGTAAATGCAGGATGTATATTCACGTGAAAACAATGTCTGTGTGAATACATGATGTCTGTTCTATTCTGGTAAATACATGATGTCTGTTTGCGTGAATACATGATGTCTGTTCTATTCTGGTAAATACATTATGTCTGTTTGTGTGAATACATGATGTCTGTTCTATTCTGGTAAATACATGATGCCTAACGGTTGGGAGCTGAACTACAAACATACATGTTTCTTTTCAAGTAAATGGCTAGACCTTTGATTATGTTTACATTTGTGCAAGACATGAGTTGAACAAACTTTTGCTGTGTTGGATAATGACGAAAAACATTTGGTATGAGTTTTGTCGGACTTTCCTTATAGAAAGGACAAACAACAAAATGGAACTCATCTTTAATAGCTCCTAAATTACAGCGTTCACATATATACTAAATCAGAATGAGCAGTGTATTTATTAAACGCAGTTTTTTTAATTTTCAGACTATGTGACAGACATCTAAACTTGGCAGGTGCTTTAGTCAAATCCCTATCAATATCAGCACTTAAATACTTTTCTTGTTCAAAAACAGTTTCATAAGAAGAATACGTTTAGAGAAATGAAGATTACTCCACTTTCCCATACCAAGACTGAATATCTAAATCAATACATGTCTGTTTAAACAAAGTCATAAATTGTGATACATTTCCACATTCTTGATAAATCCAAGCATATGAAAAGCCAATTTGAAATAACAACATTCTGACATGTGAAGCCCAGTTTACATTGCCAGCTTCGTCCTGCGCTTTACACATGTTATAACAGGCATGAGGACTTGGTGCCGAATCCATATGAGTCAACCTACACCAGTATCTTATACAGCGGCAAAAGTAATGTTCACCCAGAACCGCCTTTGATGAAGATCTTTTACTTTAACCCAGATATTGTTTGAAGAAGTTACTCTGGACTTTTACTGGACTTTTACGAAACGTAAAACCCCATATTTCACTGCTACTACATGCAATTGGTGCAATTTTAGTATCAAATATGGACAAAATAATCTTCAGCGATAGATCTATATAACATTTCATTGACTGGTAAATAGGGAAAAAAGCTTTTGATGCATGGTTTGCAAGAGTTTCACATGCTGTTGACCAACACAGTCGTGATGAAAAGATCACACCTAAATACGTATATTAGGCAACAGTTTTCAGTTGGTTGCCCTTACAATACCACTTCTCAACCTTACGGGGCGGTGGGGTAGCCTAATGGTTAAAGCGTTGGCTCGTCACGCCGAAGACCCGGGTTCGAATCCCCACACGGGCACAATGTGTGAAGCCCATTTCTGGTGTCCCCCGCCGTAATGTTGCTGGAATATTGCTAAAAGCGGCGTAAAACCAAACACAGTCAGTCAGTCAGTCTAAGCAATTACGAAAAACAATGATTTTAGAATTTGCCATATTTACAGTTAATCCCCATTTATTGCAAAATAATTCTAAAGTATTCAACTTCCTCTGCAGGTCAGCAACAAAATCTGCAACTAATACAATGTCGTCAACGTCAACATCATCATCCACACATATGCCTCTAGGATCGCCATTTTGTAGATCAACAACTAGCTGGTTTATAAAGAAGACGAACATGATAGGAATTGGCATACAGCCTTGTCTAACTCCACTTGATGTGTCAAACATATCGGTGATAGAATCGCCAATGTTAACACAGTCACAAACATTCTTGTACATGCTTTCTAGAAGGGTATAATGCTTTACATTAATACCATTTTGGAGTAGTTGACAAAGCAATTTATTCTATCAACCGGATCGAATGCCTTGCGGAAGTCAATAAATGCAGTGTAAAAACGGTTGTTTAGGTCTTCTGAGATATATTTATGCTAATGACTGAAGTACAAAACTATTATCCGTGGTAGAATATGCTTGCCGGAAACCGGCCTGTGCTTCAGAGGGAACTTTACAATCTTCACAATTCATATGATCATGTTCTTTAATAAAATGTTCTACAGACTGGTCAAATTCACTGATTTGTGTTTCAGGATTTAGCAGATCCTTAAAATACTGGTACCAATCCTCTGGCGTGATGCTACTTGCTCTGTGTTTAGTTTTCAATAAGGATTTTACCGAGTGCCAGAAGGATTTACAATCATTGAAATTAAAATTTACACGATCAGTTTCCTCCCTTTCAAAGACACTTTTTTTTTCTCCTTACGCATTTTCCTAAGCTTCCTTTTACTCTGAAGAAACATATCAAGGTTTTCTTTATAGTTATTTATTCCGAGGAGCTGCAATTTAACATATTTCAGTTTTTTCAGTATGGAACATTCTTCTTCAAACCACTTAGGTTGTTCATTGATAGAATTCCTGCGATGATGGTGTTTATCAATTTTCTGAAAGTGCGCTCCCTACATTTGAATAAGTTCAACTAGGTGGTTAGCTGGTTGAACTGGAACTCTAACACTGAAGCCCTATACAAAAAGTGTCAACAACGCCTTCATCTCATGCATAAACTGAGATCTTTTAATGTTAACCCATCTGTGATGTCATCTTTTTATGTAGCATTTATTCAGAGTATTTTAACATTTTCCTTCCATTATTGGTACGGGTCTCTCTCAGTTCATCTCAAATCTAAAATAGACAAAATTGTTAACACTGCAAGTAAAATCGCTGGAGTCAGATTTGAATGTTTATCATCAATATATGAGCGGCAAATCGTGAATCAAGCTGTCAAAATCATATCTGACCGTACCCACTGCTTAAATTCGGAATACAACCTCCTCCCTTCAGGCCGCCGCTACAAAGTTCCAATTGTGAAAACTAAGAGAGCCCGTACATCCTTTATTCCAAGTACCATATCTCTCTTAAACAAATGTGAAGATACCTAAATCAAATGTTTCAGTAGCTCTGCTGATGTAACAAATTCCTGGAAAGGCATTAAAGTATTATTCCATTCCATTCCATTCCATTCCATTCCATTCCATTCCATTCCATTCCATTACATTACATTACATTACATTACATTACATTACATTACATTACATTACATTACATTACATTACATTACATTACATTACATTACATTACATTCACATCCATACACTCTAGGAATTTGCCAATCATTTCTGATGCTAATCTCGAGTTATAATTGTCAGCATAAATATTTTTACCTTCATTGGACCAGATAAATTTCGTTATCGGGTAGGTACTTGACAAACTTGTTTGACAGCTCACACATAGGGACAGATTAACTGAGAACTGGCAAGAAACCGACAGCCGGCCTCCAGCCTGTAACGACCCTATGCCGAGAGACCGACGGAATCGAACCATGCACCCCCGACACAGGCTCCAGCCAGTACCTCTTACAGCCCGTACCTTATATGGCAACAAAAGTGCATCTATCGGAACAGTTCGACGACGTTTACGCCTGTTTGGTATCCCTGCAAGACGCCCACGGAGACTGTCATTTCTGACGACACCCACGACGAAGTCTCCACTGGAGCAGACAACATTTGTGACACCACGTCAAGACCACGTCGAACCACGCACCTCCAACACAAGTTCCAGCCAGTACATCTTACAGCCCGTACCTTACATGGCAACAAAGGCCGAACAATTTCACGACCTGTACGCATGTCCGGTATCCCTGCAAGACGCACGTGAAGTTTTTCACTATTTAAATGCAAAATCTCGAAAACAACTCAAAATATTTATGAGATAGAGAGTGATTATGGCTTTACGTCCCATTCAGCAATATTCCAGCAATATCAAGACGGGGGCACCAGAAATGGGCTTCACATATTGTACTCAAGTGGGGAATCGAACCCGGGTGTTCAGCGTGACAAACGGACGCTTTAACCACTAGGCTATCCCACCGCTCCGTTAATGATATAAAGGATAAAATACTGGCCAGATGAATATTTGATAGGTTACTTAAGTCTGATCACACAGTAACTGTACTGATACGTTAGAGGTGAGGTGAAATTGGGTTTTACGTCGTGCTTGAGAATATTTCGCTCATATATGACGACGTGCATGCGTGTGTATGTGTATGTGCGGCTCCTTGTACTAGCCCAGACTTAAGCTGGTTTTATAGTGCTAGCTCACTGAGATACCATGCCACAGTGAAGCATGAATACCCCACTCAGACACATTATACTGACTCCGAGCCGACCAGTCCTTGTTGTACCCATTAAT